TAATCAACACAATACTAAGTCAAGAGAGTACTAGATGGTCAGACTTTCCCACTCTCCATTCACACAACTCACCCAGGATCCTGATGGACAGGATCCCCCTCTCAGTATTAAATTTTGGCTCTGCCCAGTCCTGAGTGCAAACCAAGTCTTGGCCAATGACAATGGAAGAGGCAAAGACTTACTAATCAGATAGATCTGCTCTAGAACCCAGGCAAGATGCCTTACCTCTGAGCCCCAGTTTCCTCATCTATACACTGGGGTAACAATATGTAACAGATTTCCAACTGGGATTCCACTGGGTCCCCCCTTCTCCTCCTCCAGGACTTGCTCTCCAGAAAAAAAAGGAGCAACTTTTTTGGTATTTAAAGTTATTTCCAAGGGAGTAATTACAAACTCCTGTACATTAAAGCCTAGGTTCGAGGTACCTATTCCTTCCCATTTCTGAACCTGGTGGATTAAAGATCTCAGGTAGTCAAACTTTAGAGGAGGAGGAGGAGGTGGCTAGATGGGGAGAAAGATAAAGGTGAGGAGGAATCCAGAGAGGGCAGGTTTCTTCCATCTACAAGAGGAATGGAAGAATTTCTGAACTATTGAGGTGCAGATTGAGGAATTAGGGGAAGAAAGGAAAGAGCCAGGCGATGAGGGCAACTGGGGTGGCGGTGGCGATCGGAGATATGGCTTTGCCAGATAAGAATTCCCCCAAAGCCAGGGGAAGCTGGGGGAGGGAGCCTCAGGTTCCCTTTAATTCTTTCATTATTCTTCACCCTCTACTCAACTCCCCACCCGCCCTGCCCAAGTCCCCAAGGTGAGCATTGAGTCTAGAAAGGTCTTGTCATATCACTTACCCCTCCCCCCAGCAAAACCCTAGAAATCAGTGTTCCAGGACCCCTTGGGCAGGTTTTGCCCTAGCAAACTTTACACCACATAACTCCTGAATCCCCAGGAGCACCGGCTACAGCAGGCACAGACCTGGGGTAAAAGAATTGACTGTGGGCAAGTTGTTTGACCTCTCTGGGCCTCAGTTTCCTCAGTCTTTAAAATGGGGATTAAAAAAGCTTACTTCACCAGCTGTGGCCAGAATTAAAATAGATGGTGTCTGCTAAGTGCCTAGCTCTTTGTAGGCATCTACAAACATTAGCTGCTGCTGTTGTTGTTATTACTGGGTGTCATTGATCTGGAGTCACCATCAATTATAAAATGCACCTTATTATTATTATTTTTAAAGATTTTATTGGGGAATTGGGGGAGAGGAACAGCATTGGGAAATTGGGGAGGGAGACCAGCCAAGTTGTTGTTCTTCAATCTTCGTTGTGGAGGGCGCCAGTCACCATCTAGCTTCCCGTCGGCAGCTCGTGGGCTCAAAGCTCAAGGTGCTGTGTTCAATCTTAGTTGCGGGTGGGCGTAGCCACCATCCCATACAGGAGTCGAACCAGCAGCCTTGCTGTTAAGAGCACATGCTCTATCCACTGAGCCATCCGGGCAGCAGCAGCACAGCTCGAGGTGCCGAGTTCAGTCTTAGTTGCCTGTGGGCATAGCCCACCATAGAACAGGCAATCTTGTTGTTACACCAGCTGAACAATCCTGCCACCTGTTGGCAGCTCAGTGACAACTCAGCTTGGGCACAGCGTCACTGGCCCATGTGGGAATCGAACAGGCGGCCCTGTTGCTCAGAGCTTGCGCTCTTAAGCCAACTTTTTTTTTAATTATTATTTTTTTAAAGGTTTTATTGGGGGAGGGGAACAGACAACTTGCTGTCCTTTGGTTCTTCAGTCTAGTTGTGGAGGACGTCGCTTCACTGGCCCATGCTGGTATTATCATTGCGCTCTTCCCGGCTGAGGCAGATTGGTCACCGGCCATTGGACTGCTGCTCACAGTGGCTCACGGCAGCTTACGCTGGCTGCTGGCTGCCGGCCACTCACGCTGGCTGCTGACCACTCACGGTAGCTTACAGGCAGCCCACTGCAGCCCCACTGCAGCCTACACTGTCACCGGTGACTCACAGCAGCCCAGCTCCAGGTCGAGCTGTTGTTCACCATCTTAGCTGTAGAGAGCTTAGCATCACTGGCCCTCATGTGGGATCCGAACCAGGGCCCTGCTGCTCAGAGCTCGTGCTCCCAAGCCAGCTCTTAACCAACACGCCACTCGGCCGACACCCTTAAGCCAACTCTTAACCAACTGAGCCACTCGGCCGGCCCCCTGCACCATTATTTCATGTATCACTAAGAAAGACAAAAAAGTACTGTCAATTAAATTATGACCCACCAGTGCATGAGAGATGCAGCCTGATTTCAGAGATATTAAAAAAATAAATGCGGGTGGGCCGGGCGGCGCAGTTAGAGCGCAAGCTTTGAGCAACAGCGTCGCCGGTTTGATTCCCTCATGGGTCGGTGAGCTATGCCCGAGCTGAGCTGCCGATGAGCTGCCAACGGATGGCCAAATGGCTCAGCTGGTGAGAGCGCGTGCTCTTAACAACAAAGTTGCCAGTTCGACTCCCGCATGGGATAGTGGGCTACGCTTCTCCCTCCCCCCGCCCCGCAACTAGATTGAAAGCGGCGACTGGACTTGGAGCTGAGCTGCACCCCCCACAACTAAGATTGAAGGATAACAACTTGACTTGGAGCTGACAGATCCTGGAAAAACACAACGTTCCCTTCCCCAATTCTCCAACACTGTTCCCTTCTCCACTTCCCCAGTAAAATCTTTTTTTAAAAAATTAAATGCTTCTGGTGCCCTGGCTGGCGATGCTGTTCCTTAACCTACATTCTGGTTCCACATGTTTGCTAGTGAAAAGTCACTCCACTGGTCATGGTCTGTATACTCTCTGTATGTGTGCTATACTCCAATATGAGATTTACAATAAAAACAGGTCAAACTTGTGTGGCATGTAATGAATAAAAGTCTGTATTGGCCCCACAGCACTGGGCAAAATAATACATATACTAGGCACTAAATTAACACTGAGCAAACAGACACGTGGCTGGGAGTAGGACACAGTAATAGCAGGGTGGCCTCTTCTGAGGTCTCCTGAAAACATGTTAGTCTTTTTTTAAAATTCATTTACCAGGTTAGCAGGAGCTACCCACTCCAAGGTCACTCATCTGAGGTTTTGTAGATGAAACTACCTAAAGTCACACAATTTAGTAAATGGTGGAGCTGGGATTTGAACCCAGGTCGTGGGGCTACCAGAATCTAGGCCTTTATGCACTATCCTATACTATTTGGGGACTGCCAAGGGATGCTCCCCAAAGACCCCCACATCACCCCTTCATATTCAGGCAGAAAGAGGTCATGCTTTAAACCACTCTCATGGGTTGGACAGGCCTCCTGGACTCCTAGGAGTGGGAGGGTCCTGCTTGTCCAGAAAGAGGAGGGGAATTTGAGGACCAGCATCTGACTCTGTTCTATTAATAGAAGGAATAAAGGAGGGAAGGGGATTCCATGGTGGGACTTATGCTGTTGACCGTTCCATTCATGGCAAGCAGGGACTGATGGAACCTTTCATTTCCCCAAGGAGCTCACAGCTGAACTGGCAGGCAGACAGAATAACTGTTTGGTTAACTGTATAACTCATGGAAATGGAGAGGGGTAGTTTGAAGAACTGACAGTGTGGTTTCCCTATGCTGTGCGGTACTGAATATCTAACTCAATTACAGCCTGCTTTGGACTGGCTGAGGCTGGTGGTCCAACAATGTAGAAGACAGGAATCTTCCTGAGGGACTGACATGCTGGCTGACTGCGGACCCATGGTGTTGTTGCCCACCTGGATGGTGGGATGCTGTGAATGGATGACTGCTGCTAGGAATCATACCTGGCCCAAGGGAGTGTCTGGATGTTACGCTGCCTGGGGACATGTAAAGGAGGGCTATCCTGAGGGTATTTCAGGCTGACTGATGGACAGATCTGTGTCTGTCTGATAGGTATCTGTTCTGGTGACTGATTATCCACCCTGACCGAACCACAGCATGTTTGACAGACCATGTACTCAGTCGGTGAGAATGGCTACCTGGCTGATTGTCAATATGATGAGCGGCAGACTGAACGAGTCACAGGCTGGCTGACCAACAGAAAGATCAGCGTAGCTGCCTGACTCGATAGCTGTATGAGGTTAAAATCACAACTGCCCTGATGGGTCAGAGGGTACTGACTGTCCAATGGGGGGCATGCCTCCCTGAGAAAGGACATACTGCTGAACCACTGACAGGTGGCGTGGAGGTTTAATGCTACCTTTCGTTGCTGTGACTATTTTCTCTGAGGGAATAACTGGCTTATCATGGTGGGAATGAGGGGGGAATGACAGTCATTGACAACTAACAGTGGATAGTGTGACTGCCTGACAGAGCTACTTGAGATGCTGACAATGGCAGCCTGGCCAGATGTAATGGCAGCCTGCTTGCAGGCATGGCTAGTGGCTAGGGCTGCCTGAGCCGGGTGTGAGATGACTTCCCCAGGGGGATTCAGAGCAGGTGCCAGGCAAGGGTAGACGGAGAGACTGCTTGTTGAGTGACTGCCAGTGTGAAGAAGACACAATCTCAGGCAATGACAGGGTGGCTGACTAGCAGTGTAGCTGTTAGTAAGCACTGTATGTCGGCCTCAAGGGACTTGCCGCTGGCCCAAGAGCAGGGACGGCTGTTGCTGGTGACTGTCGGTATGAAAGGGGGTAGGGTCTGACTAGACAGTTGTGGTGACTGATCCATTGTGTGATTTGAGTTGGGGCTTATTTGAGACTGAGCAGCAGTCTGGCGCCATAGTTCACCTAGGAGGAGAGTCACGGCCTGCTCTGGGTTAAAATGTGGTGACGGGCTGCCTTACGGAGATAATTGGGGGCCTGACAGAACGGAGGATACCCCCCCGCCCCCACGTCTGGCTGGCTGACAACGGGATTGGCTGACAGCATGACAGACAGACTGGCGGACAGTCACGGCCTCCAGCAACCTCCGCCGCCGACGCCCAGACGCACGCTGGGAAAGCGCCGGCGAGCACCCGCCTTCGGGACCGAGTGTCGAGTGGCGGGAGGGGTCCGGTCACGGCTTGCCGGTTGGTCCGCGGGGGCGCTGCTCGCTATACGGCACGGCCAATAGGCTGCGCGCTCTCGGCCACTCCCGCGCGAGCTCTCTTCTCGCGAGGCCGGTTAGGCCCGAATGTCGTTAGCCGTGGGGAAAGATGGCGGAAAATTTAAAAGGTGAAGCAGTGGTGGCAGCGGCGCGGGCCCGGTGGCCGGACCGGGTGGGCTGGAGGGGTCGCGTCGCCGGCTCGGGGCCCTGGCGTCCGAAGCCACGGATCTGAAAGCCCGGCGCCGAAAGGCTGGGGCTCGGGAAGCGCGGCCCTAACGCGCGGGGCTGGGCGGGGCTGAGGGGAGGGGGCGCGTGCTTTGGAAGGCGGTGGGCGCGGGGCGAAGTGGGGACTCGGGAAGGGGGCGCGCGCCTCGGATCGCGACCGAACAGCGCGCGCACGCGCGGGGGCTTGTAGGGGAGGCCGCGCCCGCGCGCGGGAAAATCGGTCGTCGGTGACCGTTACCCGCTTGGTGTCCACGCGAGACGCCGGAAGGGGAGGGAAGGAAGGGGACGGGCCTCCTTTTCAGAGTGGGGGGACAGGGGAATCTTGGGGGGATGGTATCTCCTCTCAGCGTGATGGGGGAAGGGTCTGTAGTAGAGAGGACTCCCCCGGGAAGATGGGGAGGGGGCTTCCCGAATGGGAGAGCTGGACTCCCTCGTGTGCAGGGAAAGAGGGGTGACTTTCTCAGTATGTTGGGAGGGTGGGCTCCTCTGGGTGAGGAAAGCTTCGGGAATTATGGGTTCCACAAGTGTGAGGGGGACCTCTGAGGAATAAGAGAGTCCCACCTGTGGTTAGTGGGGCACCAGTAGCTGGAGATGTGGGGTGGGATCACTTTAGTGGGGTTTCAAATGCAAGTTAAAGGGTTTGAAAGGGAGAGACGTCACAAGGAGAGGAAAGCGTGGGCACAGGCCGAGTCTCCACTAGGCCTGCCTCAATGTGTGAGAGGGGAGTGCACACGAAATAATTTTGCAGAGCTCTTGTACGTTTTTAGATTGACATCTAGAGCATTTCGTCAGAGTTTAAATGTTTGATTTTTGTAGTGGGAGATAGAAAATACTAATAGAATGAGGACTGACTGCATTTGGAATAAGTGTTGTGTGAAATGATCTGATAAAATGGTTTCTAAAGCACATTAAGAATGCCTTGAATCTTTGACTCAGAAGGCTTAAAAAAAAAAACCTGTCTTGAAAATTTTTGGTAGCCCCAGAAACATTCCAGGTATAATTAAAAGCATTATTGTCACTAACCTATTGCTGTTTTGCCTGTTTCTGAATTCCTTTGGGCAATGTTTACCCTTCACAGAAATGTGGATGAGACAGAGAAAGTCAAAATGCAATGTGAAAAAAATGTACCGTATGGATTTAAGGCACCCCGACTAATCTTTAAGGGGGCTTCCTGTAATCTAATACCACTCTACAATCTCTTATTCATAATTTCAAAATCTAAAAAGCACTGAAAACTTAAGTTTGGTACAACTTTCAGTGGCAAAACTAGATTGTAAGGTGGAACTATTCAGTGTGGCTATCTTACATCTTTATTTCTCCTATTTAATGTGAAAATTCAGACTTTTGCTGCAGAATTATTAAAGTGTTTGATTATGGCTTGAAGCCCCTGACCACACTGGGGGTGTTAGGTAATATATGGGATACTACCTATAACTACACTTCTAAAATTTAAAAAAAATTGAATTCCAAAACACATCTGGCCTCGGGGATTTCAGATGGGGATTGTGGGCCAGTCTTTCCCGTATGTTGGTACCCTGGAGGTTTTAACCCCATCCCACCTAGGCCCTTGGGGCACTTCACCCTACTGAGGGGGTGGAGGGGTGGTTCTTTTGCAAAGTGTGCAGGAGGAGGATTAGGTCGTGAACACTAGGCAGCTTTTCAGGCAGTTTTAGGAATGGTAGAGAAGGAGTTGGAAGCTCTGGGAATAAATTCCTTTAGGACAATCCATGCAACAGATCCCACTTTGAGGTGTGCTGCTCCAGGAGTAGCCTTGGACAGAGAACCGTGGGTTAGTAGGTAGTGACACATTTTTGTGGCATAAAGATCTTAGCATTGGGAAGGCCTGTAGATTAAATTTCACTGACTCTGAGGCAGTCCTTTGGAAGTTCCAGGAAGGATTTGGGGTATGCTTTGACTACTGGGCTCACCAGGATGCCCAGTAATTGTTCTTGTGGCCCCCTTGTTCTAGGCTGTAGTGTGTGTTGCAAGTCTTCTTGGAATCAGCTACAGGACCTGTGCCGTTTGGCCAAACTCTCCTGCCCTGCCCTCGGTATCTCCAAGAGGAACTTCTATGACTTTGAAGTCGAGTACCTGTGCGATTACAAGAAGATCCGCGTGAGTCTGGGGTAACCATGGCTGGGGCTGGGGGTGTCTCAAGGAAGCTGGTTTCCTACCCCCTTGCCCCCCACTGCCTGCATCTGTTTCCGAAGGGAATTTTCTCCTCCTATCTCTCTATCTATCTTAATTTCTGGTGTATAAAACAACATCATGATTAGACATTTACACTCCTTATAAAGTGATAACCCCAACAAGTCTACTACCCATCTTGACATTGTACATAGCTACTACAATACCATTGACTATATTCCCTATGCTGTACTTTACAGCCTGGGACTATACATATACATATACAGTAATACCTTGTTTAGCGAGCATAATTCATTCTGGAAACAAACTACTCATATTGCAAGACATCGCTCGTTTACCACGTTAAAGTGTATTAGAGATATTTGCTCGTCTTGTGGAACACTCACAAACCACGTTACTCGCAATCCAAGGTTTTACTGTACATATATATATATTTAATTTTTATTGGGGAACAGACTGGTCATTGGTTACACATTGCTTTCATGCTACAATGACATAGTCAACTCTTTTAAGGAGGGTGCAGCTCACAGTGGCCCATGCGGGGATTGAACCAGCAACCTTGGTGTTATCAGCACCCTGCTCTAACCAACTGAGCTAACCGGTCACCCCCTATATTTTTAATTATAGTTAACATTCAATATTATTTTATGTTAGTTTCAGGTGTACAGTACAGTGATTAGGCATTTATATAATTTATGAAGTGATACCCCTGATAATTCTAGTACCCTTTTCTCCTCTGATCTTAAAAAAAATAGGATTAGTAGGCTCTCTTTTCATCCTCATCTTACTGGTGGGGAAACTAAGTGGCTTTCTGAGGGAGGCAGAAGCCAGGGTGAATCCCCAAATAAGTCTCTCCTCCCACCTCCCTAAGAATACAAACCAATTGCAAAGATTGAGCTGCTGAGCTAGGGAGTGGAGATGAGGATAGCTAATGATTATTGAGCACTTTCAGTGTGCCAGGCAGTTCCTCGCAGAAACTCATTTAATTTCCCCAGCAACACTGTGAAATGGGAACTGTTAATCATGGCCAGAGGAGGTAACAGCAGGATAGTTAAAAGAACAGACTGGAGCCAGCAGGCTTGGGTTCAAATCCTGGTTGTGTAACCCTGGAATACTTCCCTAAATTCTCTGTACTTCATTTTCCTCATCTGTAAATGGGGATACTTAGTAGTATCTACCTCATATAGAATTGTGAGGACTAAATTAGTTAATAATACTTGTAAGTTGCCTAGAACAGTATGTGCTACATAATGAATGTTAGAAAAATGTTAGTGTTTTTCCTTGTTTACAGATGAGGAAACTAAGGCCCAGCAAAGTTAAATAACTTGCTCAAGGCCACACAGTTAGGGAGTGGCAGGTTCAGAATTTGTGACTAACTAGTTCCTGTGTAGTTACTAACCAGAATCTGTGTAGCTAAATTGTATCCTATTGCTGCCTCCCAGCAAGAAAAGGTCCCTCTGGCTGCTATGTAGAGAACCGACTATAGGGGCAAGGGTGGAAGCAGGGGGACCAGTGAGGAGGCTACTGCCACAGTCCAGGCCAGCGATGATAGTGGTGGCAGTGATGGTTGGAAGTAGTCAGATTCTGGATGTAGTCTGGAGGTGGGGCTGACAGGATTTGCTGAGGGTAGATGTGGGGAGTGAGCAAAAGGAATCAAGGATGACTCCAAGAGTTGAGGCCTGAACAATTAGCAAGAAGGAGCTGATGATAGGGAAAACAGAGCAGGGAGTAATTTGGGAGATTAAATTAAAAGTTGTAATTTAGACAGTAAGGAGAGCAGGATTTGAACCTAGTGATCCTAACTTTATTGCCTGTGCTTTTTAACCAATGCATGTAGTCATTCCAGAAAAGGGTGGGGAGTGGTTTGGGTGTCATCCATTGGCTTTGGGATGGCCCAAGGGTCTCGCCACTTATGGTGCCCCCATCCCCCTGCCTCCACCAACAGGAACAGGAGTATTACCTGGTAAAATGGCGTGGGTACCCAGAGTCAGAGAGCACCTGGGAGCCACGGCAGAATCTCAAGTGTGTGCGCATTCTCAAGCAGTTCCATAAGGACTTAGAACGAGAGCTGCTCCGGCGGCACCAGCGGTCAAAGCCACCCCGGCATCTGGACCCAAGCTTGGCCAACTACCTGGTGCAAAAGGCCAAGCAGAGGCGGGCACTCCGGCGCTGGGAGCAGGAGCTCAATGCCAAGCGCAACCACCTGGGACGCATCACTGTGGAGAATGAGGTGGACCTAGATGGCCCCCCACGGGCCTTTGTATACATCAATGAATACCGTGTTGGTGAGGGCATCACCCTCAACCAGGTGGCCGTGGGCTGCGAGTGCCAGGACTGTCTGTGGGCACCTGCTGGAGGCTGCTGCCCCGGGGCATCGCTGCATAAGTTTGCCTACAATGACCAGGGCCAGGTGCGGCTGCGAGCCGGGTTGCCCATCTATGAGTGCAACTCCCGCTGCAGCTGCGGCTATGACTGCCCCAACCGCGTGGTACAGAAGGGCATCCGCTACGACCTCTGCATTTTCCGCACAGATGATGGGCGTGGCTGGGGCGTCCGCACGCTGGAGAAGATCCGCAAGAACAGCTTCGTCATGGAGTACGTGGGAGAGGTAGGGAGACAGGACCGTGCGTGTGTGTGCAGCTCTTCCTACCATGTGTTCCCCAGTGTGTGTGCTCATCACTTCTCACTGTGTGCCTGCAGTTTCCCTGCTTTCCCTGTGGAAAGGTGTTGGGGGGGCATTTAGCACAAATGCTGGGGACATCCTGGCAGGGGAGCGGATTGCAAGCTGATAGTTAAATGCACATTGAAACACTTCTGGACTGGGTTGACTTAATAAGGATACCTAGCAAAGAGGAGAGTGGGAACCGAAATCCAGGTGGCATTCTGTTTAATGGGCAGTGTGGTCTGCACAGGGTTTGGTCACCTGAAAAGGCACTTCCTTTTCTCATTTACAAGGGTCCAGATTATTGCCAAGCAGTGTCTGCCTGGAAGGAGCACATTCTGGAGTAGGATACAGACATGCTTGGCGGAGGTTGGCTGCTTCCTCCTCTAGACTTGTAAGACACTGGGGAAAGGCTAGCTGTACTAGGCAGTCTAGCCATCATACCAGACAACCTACAAATCTTAGTGGCTTTGTACATTACAAGTCTGTTTGCTCCTGTAACAGTCCAGCATCAGTGTTTGAGTGGTATCCTTCCACACAGCGGCATGGCCACCTAGGCTCTTTCCCTCTTGTGCCTTTGCCATGCCTGAGAGAGAGAGAGCCTTGGAGCCACCTCTGATCCTCAGCCTGGCCTGACAAGTGGGCCGAGAGTCGGGGGAGAAGGGGACGTTTCTAATGGGCCAGGCCTGGACACAGTGCACATCCCTTCTGCCCACATCCACTGGCTGGAACTGAGTCACTGGCTTTATCTCTGTGCAGGGGAGGCTGGGAAGTGTGATTTAGCCGTGTGGCCAGGTGGAAAACAAAAGGGGGTTTGGGTGAATAACTAGCAAGTGTCTGCAATGGCAAGTATCAACATTCTGAGGTCGGGGGCAGTGGGCATTTGGGGTGGGGCACTTCTTCGTTATGTAGGACCATCTCATGCATTGGGGAACACTGAACATTCCTGGACCCCTTAAATCCATGAGTGTGCCCTGTTATGGTGACAGCCCCAAATTCCTTCGTATTTCCACAGGTCTCTTAGGGGTTGCTGTGGTTGGGAAGTGATAGAAATTGGTCTCAAGGACACACCCCTGAGGATGTCCACACTGTAGCAATGACACTGATAAAGAGGAGAGGCTATCATTCTGACAAACTATAAAGTAGAGAGGGTTGTTCGGAGCCCCCGGGAAAGAGACAGTCTAGAGGCAGAGCAGTCCACACTGCAGAGGAGCCTGACAGTGTGGATGAGATGTCCATATCCCAGATAATCCTGGTGGTCTGGTAGAGGAAATGTCCACATGTCAAAGGACCTGATAGTCTGGGGAAGGAGGAGGTGACCACACCTCAGAGGGGTCCTGACAGTCTAGAGGAGGAAGGTCCTGACAATGTGCAGGAAGAGGTGTCCATGTCCCAGCGTGATCTAAAGGAGAGTAGAGTAAGCTCTCCACTCTCCAGAGGACCCTGGTGGTCTGACTTAGGAAGTGTCCATATCCACATTGCCCTGACAGTCAGGAGAAACCCAGAGGGATTGTGACAGTCTAAAGGAAATCAGGTCTACACCCAAGAGGACTCTGACAGCTTGGAGGAATTGTCCACACCCTCAGTGTCCTGACACTCTGGAGGAGGTGTTCAGACCTCAGAGGGGCACTAACAATGGAGAGGAGATGTTAACCCCCCAGAGAGATGTCAGCAGTCTGGAGGAGGACATGTGCATACTCCAGAGCCCCCGACTGTCAGGAGGAGGAGGTGTCCTGACCCCACAGGAGCCTGAAAGTCCTAGAGGAAGTCCAGGGCAGGTAGCGTCTCCAGCCTCACTTGACTAACAGGTGAGGAGAAGGAAGAGTGTGCAGCCCCCAGGCACCCCAAAGTCCCCTGGGCTGGGAACTTTTCTGGCTGCTCTTCCTTAGTGTCCTTACTCCTCTATGCTGTGAATGTTGGGATTTCCAGAGACCCTCTGGCTCCCTGTCTTCATGCTTCCCACTCTCTACATTCTCTCTGAGCTATTTCTTGGCCTCCTGCCACATTCAGCGACTTCTAAGCCCCCCTCCAACACCCTTAGGCCCGTGGAGCCTTCTGATGGCAACAGAGGCCCCCAAACACTGCCAGAACCAAACTCATCTTCCTGTACCCCGCTGTGAACAAGCAACATGGCAAAGTGAGCAGGAGTGTGGAACCCAGGGCCTGGCTGCCCAAGGTTGAACCCCAACTGCACCACTCTTCAGCAGTCACTTCACCTCCTTGTATCTCAGTTTCCTAATCTGTAGAATGGGAACGATAATAGCACCCACCTTGTACACTTGTTATAAGAACTAAATGAGGTGTGACATGTAAAGCACTTAAACAGTGTTCACTATACAGTAAGTCTTCAATAAATGTTAGCCATTACATCCCAAAATTCAGAAAAGTTTTTTGTAACCCATCTGGCTATAAAACCTAACTGGGCCTGATATGAACCTATTTATAGTCTCTTTTTATCCCACTTGGTGTGAATATTCATAAATTTCATTGCAGAAATACTAATGTACTTGACTACATGGTACTGTCCCAGACCCTCCCTAGTGTTACATAATCGAGGGCACACTCCCCATACCTGTTCACCATGCTGTCATTTTACAACACTGTTGTCTCTCTGGCCTCCACCTCTGCATTGACAGTCCTTCCACATGAGCTGCCCTTCCTCTCCTTTGCACCTTTCCACCTTCCCTCAAAACATCCCCACCCTCACCTAACAGAGAACAATAGCCTGTTTTCTCCATTCTAAACATGCATTTCTTCATATTTTAACAACTCTGACATGACGACGAGTCTCCATTCGTTCAGTTAAACGATGGCATAGCATCATTTAATGAGCAGCAGTTTCTCCTTTCTTGGGAAGGAGCCCGTAAACTAAGGGAGCATCTTAGATTTCTACAATATACAGGACTCAAGCCTGCCTGACACTGCCTGATGCCCTAACTAAAACAAAACCAGAAACACCTTCACATCCCTGATCTCGCTGAACCTTAATAACAGCCCCTGCCAGGCTCCAGGATTGTTGTCATTGTCATCCCCATTGTACAGATGAGAAAACAGAGGCCCAGCGCAGTGTAATAAAGTGCTCAGAGTCATTAAACTAGTCAAGTTGCGGGGGGGAAGCCCAATTGTCTAAAACTGGTGCCCTGCCAGACCTGGTGGAGTTTTTTTGTTTGTTCTCTGTTGTTTTTGGCTGAGGAAACAGGTACAGGGAGAGAACATTCAGGATCCCATATCCAGGAGGAGGCAGAGCAGCAACCGAACTTTGAGTCTTCTGGTTCCCATTCATGTCAGTACCCTTTCCAAGCTGCCAGCTTATAGCCCATGTTCTCCAGTCATTCTGGAGAGCTGCTAGGGAGCAGAGACCTGGACTGTTTGTTCTGGAGTTCTCACGGTGGCCCAGCCCTAACAGAGTGGAATAAAGACAGCTAGAAGGAATGGTTTGTGCCCTGAAGGGCTTGCAGTGTGACTCACTCCTGGTGAGACTCTAAGCAGGTAGGGACAGAACAGGCAGGAAGACCAGACTGGGGAGGTGGTGGGGGCATTCCCTCTGGTTGGGGAGGGGCTAAAAGGAAAGAGCTGGCTCAGGCCCCACCCAGTATGCTCCTGAGCCCAGCAGAGGCTGCACTTTGATCCCAGGGCTTCAGAGAGGCTGCAGTGGGTAGCGACTGGGGGGTTCAGGAAGGCTGCACAGAGAAGGAACATCTGCTGGAGCTGACACCAACAGCAAGACTGCACGGTTCTCCAGGAAGTGGGGGCAGACTGGCCTTGACATTCTTTCTTCTCAAAAGGCTTCTTTGCCTCCTGTTGTGTCCCTTAGGAGAGAGTCCCCACTCTTCAACCTGATGTCAAAACCCTTTTATGATCTGCAGCGTGCTTTAGAGGCGTCTTCTTTTCCATTGCCTCTCAAACTCAAAGCACTCTTGCATTGTGGGTGTCCAAGTCCCTCTCTCTGTCACCAGACTGACCCGTGAGGGACAGGACTGGGCCTGGTCCATGTGATTCTGTCACTAAACTGACCCCTGCGGTCCAAGTTTAGTTCCTGTGTTCCCTCAGCAGACACTGATTCCTGAGTGGTGGGACCAGGCACAGGGTTAGGCTCATAAAAACCCACTGAATGAAAGAGTGAACAAATAAAAATTTGGGGTGTAGGGGAGCCAGGTCCCTGAAGGAAGAGCTGGATTATGGGGCAGTGTGACCTGAGGGATAAATCTTGGTCTTCTAAAGGTATTGTTGATTCAGGGAGAAGAGGCAGGGAGGAGACAGGACACTAGCGTGGCCATTCTGACTGGCAAAAACAGAGGTTGCTCAAGACTGGAAGGGGACAGATTTGAAAGTAGGAAGAGCATGGCCACTGGCTGGCATGAGGGCGAGCAAGGAAGGAGGCCAGTGGGGTGGCTCCAGTGTCGGGCAGGGGGCTGGAGATGGGCAGTGGGTCTCCAATGAAGGGAGAGGGATGAAAGCAAGGGTGTTGGGGGGAGAGTGTTTGAGTTGCCTGTAGGAGCACTGCTGGACAGAGGACAGGTCACTGGGCTAACAGAATAAAAGCATTTCTTGTGAGTCTGCTGTGTACACTGTGCTGGCTGGCACATGTCTTTGAGGGGTAGGCAGAAACCTGGGAGTGGAGAAGGAGATATGCCTGGTCTGGAGGGACCCTAGGCTGAGGAGTGGGCAGTCTTGGGTACCGTGGGACCCTCACCCAGAGGCAGGCATGCTCGACTCCAGTTGGGGATTACCAGAAGGCTGTGGTTGGCCCCAGGGGGTTTCAGAGGGGTCTGTGAGCTATGGAGAGGAGAGATCGGGCAGGAAGTGCGATGGGAATCAGCAGCATTTGGGAGGCAAGGCCAGGTCAAGGCCAGGATGGTGGAGCAGCTTCACCTTTACTAGCACAGCAGGGGGCCCAGCACTGGAGGAGGAGAGGCCTCCTGCTGTCTTAAATACCAGTTGTTGTCACTGTGCAGACTCCGGACTGAGGGACGGGCTCTCACCTGAGCTCCTACGTCCTGTCTTTCATCTTCCTTTTCTGAGCTTTTGGCCTTAGGCTCTTCCTTGCGATCTGAGATGTGAAGGGGTCTTGGTCTTCTCTCCAACCTGGGTCTTTCATATTAAGCTTCTCTCTGTGTTTCTCACTCTCTGCCTCTAGCTCTCCTGTCTGAGCGTCTCTCCTGTTCAGTCTCCCTTTCCCCACCGGTCCAGGGCTCTTCCTTCTCATTTCCCATGTCCTTTTCACTGCTGTGTGCATGGCCTGTGCTGGCTGTCCTCTTGTGCTGGGTCCTGCAGTGCCTCAGGCCCTCTTGCCCTGGACCAGTCCGCCTCTCTTGTTCTTCCCCACTCTCCTCTCCCTCTGTTGAGTCCTGGGTCTTTTTCTTTGGTGCCCTTGATCTGGGTCTGTGTCTCACCATGGGTCTCTCACAATGGGTGTTTGTCTGTCTGTGTCACTGCTGGACCTTGTGGCCAGCCTCCACCCACTATTGAGAGACTCTCCAGATCATCCAGAGGCCTGGGGAGGGATGGGCGGCGGGCAGCTCCCTAAGAAGGGCTGACAGACCCCCCGCCTCACTGCCTGCCTTGTGTCCATGCCTGCCATCCCTGCTGAGCTGGCCACATGGGTAGGGGTGCCTCCCTGCTCACTTGTTCTTTTCCTGCGGGCTTTCCTGAGCCTTCTTGGCCAATCCCTCCTCTCCTCAGATCATTACCTCAGAGGAGGCGGAGCGTCGGGGCCAGATCTACGACCGCCAGGGTGCCACATACCTCTTCGACCTGGACTACGTGGAGGACGTGTATACCGTGGATGCCGCCTATTATGGCAACATCTCCCACTTTGTCAACCACAGTGTGGGTACCCCACAGGCGGGCAGGGGGTTGGGAGGAGCAGGCTGGGCCCCTCCTCACCCTGCTGCTGTTCTTTTTGTCCCAGTGTGACCCCAACCTCCAGGTGTACAACGTCTTCATAGACAACCTTGATGAGCGCCTTCCCCGCATCGCTTTCTTTGCCACAAGAACCATCCGGGCAGGCGAGGAGCTCACATTTGATTACAATATGCAAGGTGGGGGTGGCAAGGGACTGGGGGAAGGGGCACACAATGACATGGGACATGAGGACCCTTCCCCAAGGAGCTTTAAGATGCTCTTTTTGACTCCCAGTCTCCCATCTGGACTCCTGGACCCCTGCCCACTCCTTGGAGGGGGGATCCCTTCATTCCCAACCCCTGGACCCCAACCCTGAGACACTCGTACCAACTTCTCCTAAGACTCCTGGGGGAGGATATTTGGCTTGAGAGTTAAGACACTTCTGACTCCAATCTTGTCTGAATTTCCCCAGTCACCCAACTCTCCCCGCTCCTAACCCTCTTTGGCCTTCCTCATTCCAAGCCTCTGGACACCCTGTGGCCTCCAGCCAGTCCCCTACTTGACAAACTAGCCACCTCTGAGACACTCAAGGGGGGATCTTTGACAGGAGAGTTCAGATGCCCTTCTGGATGCCCAGGTGACCCTTCATTCCTGGACCTCTGCCTGACACATCCCTCCTCGTTCTCCCTGAGCCCCCTGTTTTCCCCCACAGCCCCCAACCCCTGGCCATCTTCCTAACACTTGAACACCCTCCAGTGCTGAGCCCTGGCCCTAGCCCCAAACCAACAACTCCACGACCCACTCCTGACCCAAATCCCAGACCTGCTCCCAGTCCCCAAGATCCCTGGGTCCCATGGTAAAGGGGTAGTGGGACACTTCACCTAGGCCTTCTAACAAGTCCCCTCCCCCTTCCGCCCTCCCTGGCTATGACTCCACAGTGGACCCCGTGGACATGGAGAGCACCCGCATGGACTCCAACTTTGGCCTGGCCGGGCTCCCTGGCTCCCCCAAGAAGCGGGTCCGTATTGAATGCAAGTGTGGGACTGAATCCTGCCGCAAATACCTCTTCTAGCCCTTCGAAGTCTGAGGCCAGACTGACGGTGGGGGCCTACAGCTACCCATCCCACCCACCCACTACCCACTGCTCCCCTCCTGTTGAGGAACGACTGCCAGGGTCTCCTGCCTGTCTCCACATGTCCCCACCTGCCCCGTGCTAGGGGGTTGTAGTGAGGACTGACTCCAGGAATTCCCCCTCCCTGTAATTGGTCAACACCAGGACTTTCTGCAGTTGGGATTCATGGCCTGTGAAGGAGGTACAAGGGGCGAGCCCCAACCCAGCCTCAGAATAGACAGATACTTGGTTTTGCACCTGCTTATTTTGCCTGGAGCTTGAGGGGTTGGTCTGTTGTGGACCCTCTCCCTACTGCTCAAGAGTGGAGAAGCCACCCGAGGGCAGGCTGACCTCAGAGGCCAGACTTCCCAGCCCTCTTGGATCCTCTGCCACAGAAATTTTATGCTAGGGAAAGAAAGGGGCTCTCCAGGGCTGGGGACTGAGGCTGGTTTCTGCTCATGCTCACATGCCAGCTGTGCATCAGAACTAGACACCCACTGGAAGCGGTGTGGACGCCCATGGCCCACTGGCCAATGAAAGGAAGGCAGTCCAGACTCTAGCCCTTATGGTGGACTGGCATTGAGCTCTGCCTTTGGGGTGCACAGAAGGCACCTAGGGCCCCTAGGGAGGTTCTGGGAACCCTGCCCTGGGGTATGCTGGGACTACTCAGAGCTGGAACCAAGATCTAGCTATGCTGTAGATAGCACTTAGGACAAAAATTATTGATGGGGTAGTGATGAGGTGTCAGGAAGTGGGTGGAGCACCTGGTCCACGTGGATTGTCTCAGGGAAGCCTTGAAAACTGTGGAGGTGGATCCCAGAAAAGGGCCTATTGGCAGAAGGCCAAGTACAGGCCAAGAATGGGGTGTGGGGATACCTTACCCATGAAATGGTGAGGTGCCAGGGAAGCCCCTGCCACCTGCCAGCTCCAGGCCTCAGACCTTTGCATTCACCTTGGGTTCGCTGGTTATAAAAGTGACCCACCTACAGGTGTACAGAAGGCAAAGGCTCTCATGGCTGCCTCGCCTCTTGCTTCCCCTGTGAAGTCTCTAGGAAGCCTTCCCTGACTACCTGTGCCCAGATTGCCCCTCCGTGAGACTGTGTGCCCTGCTACCAGATGCCATATCTGTGTGGCTGTCTGTGTGTCTGTACTCCCTGCCCCCAGAATTAACTTTCAGGCATGAACTGAATCTGATTTTTCTCCTGTAAATTCCTTGGCCCTACCCATCCTGGGTGAGCATCAATAAAATCATGTTGACTGAATAAACCAAGGTGTGGGATTGAAGACCTCGCATAGATGGGGGTTGGGGAATGAGAGGCTGGGAGCTGGGGTGCCCAGAGATATTTTCCTCAAACCGTAGCCATTTGACTATAACGCCCCCGCCCCCCCACACACAGTACCACTTGCCCCATCATCCACCAAAAAGGAAACAAAATCCATTGCTGTCTAAATGGATAAAGCATTATCATTTGCCACAAACAAAAATAAGAAGTAAATAGAGTGGAAATGCAGAAATATACAATTCTAGCTGGACCCTCCCCACTCTTAAAGGCTTTGAACCCAAAGCCTGCCTACTCCAAGAGAAGTCTGCTTTTATTGTATTTATATTTTCTGCAAATATTTATTGAGCCCCTAGCATGTGCTAGGGTAGAAAGCAGAAAAGGAGATGATGTTTCAAATACACGTATTTGTTTTCATCATCCCTCAACCTGAATGTGAGCCTGGGCCTTTTGTTTTTTGCTCAGAGACCTCACACACAGTGACACAGATAGTCAAAGATTTCAGAGACCTGACACACAGGTGACAGAATCCTAAACAGCTGAGACCACTACACACGGGGAACCTAAGACATAGGCTTCCAAACAACTCAGACCACATACCCTGGGTATTGACCCCAGACACATCTGGGATACACATCATACAGCTAAGAGATCTCTTACCTGGATACAGGCCCTGAATAACAGGCTGCACTGAAACTAGGGGACCCAGACTCCGAAAGAGCGCCAAGACCTAAGTGCTGTCTCCTACATTAGGATTCAGATCCCAAACAGCAGAGAACTTTCTGGGATAGAAATGAACAAACATCTCAAAGACCTCACAAGCGGGGATACTGCTACCCAAGTTATTTGGAGCCTTCACACCCTGATCATCTATTCCCAGACTGCCCTCAGCCTGGGACAGATCTCCAAACAGCTGAGACGTCACACCCCAGACACACCGCCCAAACACCTGAGAGGCCTCACACTCGGAACACAGATCCCTAAGTGATTCTGAAATCTTAAACCTTGGACACCCCCCTAAATTGCTCAGAGACATGCTGGAAAATAAAGCACTAAACATCCCTGAGGTCTCACTCGCTAGAACATGGAGCCACAAACTCAGAGCCTCAAGTCTTGGACACAGACCCAAAAGAGCTTAGAGATTTCACAGACCAGAAACAGACCCTGTTCAGAGAATTCTGACCCTGAGAAACATCTGTGTACAGCTCAGAGACCTCACACTTTTTGACACAGACCCCAAAATGGTTCAGAGTGGGACACCCGAGGAAAGACTACCCAGTACTTCAGAGACCTTGAGTTTTATAACCCACACACCCGAAATTGTGACTACAGAGCCTGCACAATGCTGAGACTTCACAGCCAGGGCTAGAGACCCACCAGCTTCTCAGAAAACTCACCAACTGGGGAGAAAGCTGGACAAACAATTCAGAGACCTCACACCCTCTTCTCAGACCACCAGACAGCTCAGAGACCTCACGCTGAATGTGATACGCAAGAATTCCCAAATCCCACACTCTGGAACACAGGCCCTAAACCAGCTCAGAGACATCATGCTCTCGACACAGATTCCTGTTCAGAGATGTCATGTACTGGACACAGATTTCCTAAAAATAGCTCAGAGCCTTCACACACTGAGATTTATCCCCAAACAGCCTAGAGGCCTCACTCATTGGTTCACAGAAGAGCTCAGAGACCTGAAAATCTGGATACCAATCCTCTACATAGTTTAGGGGCTTCATACCTTGTGATACAGACCCCAAATATCTCTGAGATCACACATTCTGGACACAGACTCCAAACAGCTTAGAAACTTCACATTCTAGGCTCACGTCCAGAAACAGCTCAGCATCTTCACACTCTAAACACAGACCTCCAAATGATTCAGAAATATCACATCCTGGACCCAGACCTCAAAACCATTCATGGAACTCACCCTTTGTACTCATATCCAGAAAGATTTCAGACATCTGACACTCATGGACACAGATCACCAAACAGCCTGGAAACCTCACATTCGATGTAAAGTCTCCACAAACAGCAGAGAGACCTCATAACTGGAACAAAGACCTAGAACAGCTTAAGGACCTTACATCATGGACACAGGCTCTCAAAGGCCTCAGAGAACTTCTAACCTGGGAGACAGACACAAAACAGCTCAGAGACAGCACATCTGGCTACATATGCCCACGCAGCTCAAACACCTCATGTCATAGGACACACCCTCAGAGAGTTCATTAACCTCACAATCTAGAAAGCAGACTCTCAGGTTTTCCAGAGACCCCACATATCACACAATACTGAAGCACTGCAAATTAACAAGACCCTTAAGTAGCCAAGAGACATCATAAACTGGTAACAACTCCAAATGACTCAGAGACCTCAAATACTGGAAACAGACCCCTAATAAGTCAGAGACCTCATACCCTGGAACTGAACTCCCTCAACAGGAACTGCCTTGCCCTTGGAAACATACCCTAACAGTTAGGGACCTCGACACTAAGGGATACGGAGACGGGAGAGCTCACACTCTGGGACACACTTCAGAGGTCTGAAACAATGGAAACATGTCAAAATTGGGAAACAGATCCTGAAACTGCTCTGAAAAATCACACCCAAGTACAAAAGCCACAGCATCATAGAAAACTCATTCCCTAGGACATGGGCTAAAAACCGTTCAAGGGGGTGACACCCTGAGCATAGACATTCAAATACATCAGTCCTCATACCTGAAAGGAGGGACTTCAAAATAGTTCAGAGACACCATACCCTACGCAGAGCCCACCACAGCATTAAAAGATTTCACACACTGAATAGAGACCTCCAAACAGTTCAGAAAACTCACTAACTGGCAGTCATGCGCATGCACACACACACACACACACACACATCATTGAGAGCTCA